TCAGGCTAATCCCCCTAAGGTGCCCCGTTGCAGCAGGGTATAGTTCACTGGGGAGGGGTGTGTGAGCGACATCTTCAACGCACAAGGGGACATTTGCAAGACCCAACGGAACTGGACTAGACGTCGGTTCCCCCTGACAAAGCCATAATGCACCCACAGCCTTCCGCATCCCGAAGGGAACCCAGCGAAGGGCTCTCCGTTGCTTGTCCCGGGGTCAAGCTGCTCTCTCTGTTTTGGATGCGGGCAGACCTGTTCCAGGTGGACCCCCTACGTGTGGGTCAGTGCTCCCTCTAAGCTGGGGAGTCTCGTGAGCAGAAATCCTACTTTGTGAGCTACTGGCCTGAAAGTTGTGAGCCAGCGATTTGGCTGCTGCATGAGTTAAGTTTGCTCTGGAGCCAACTGCTTCCTGAGCGAAGGCAAAAATGTGTGCGCCGGAGGATAAAAAACTGTGAGCGAGCTCACACTTACTCAGCTTAGAGGGAAGACTGAGTGTGGGTGCCATTGGCACTCCTGTGTTCCAGTCCCTGCCCAACTCAAAGTCACCAACTCTCTGGGCGGGGCACTGCCCTTCTCCGCACCACTCCGGTCTGCAGCGACCAGAAGAAGAAGAAGAGATTGGATTTATAGGGTGGGGCTGAGAGAGCTCTGACAGGAACTGCTCTTTTTCAAGGACAGCTCTTATCAGAGCTAGGGCTTGCCCAAGGCCTTCCAGCCAGGTGCAAGTGGAGGAGTGGGGAATCGAACCCGGTTCTCCCAGATTAGAGTCTGCGCACTTAACCACGACACCAAGGGAGGCGAACTGAGCTCAGGCCTACCATCCCACTGGAGGGACGGACTGAATGCCCCTGCCGTAAACGTTCCCGACCCCTCTCTCAATGACTTAACCCAATCTCCCGGGAAACAGTGGCTAACTCTTTGGGGCTACTTGTTTCTGTTGCAGGGGAAACCCGGAACCTCCGCAGTGACTGAACAGGTACCACGCCTTCAACGTTGCAGTCGGCTTCTGTCCTACAATTTTTTCCTTTCCCCCCCCCCCCCCCGATAAATCCCTTATAAGATTCCTGCAAACTGTGAAGGCTTGGATATCTACATGTCAGTGTGTCTTAAACCAAAAGAGACAAATATTACAGATTTTCCCCCCCTGCTAGGTAGTCAGGAACCCCCTTCCTTCCTCCTCTCTCCCAGGGCACGCACATCAAATTTTATAACCACTCCCAGCAAGACGAGTGATTTCTGCTTAAAGAATCTGATAAAAAATATTTTTACAACCCATGTGCGCACACACAACAGGAGAAAAATACCCCATGTGGTCAGCGTTGTATAGCATTCATCTCATTTCTATCCCCACATTTCTTTTCCAGCGGTGACCCAAAGCAACTTAACGACATTATCCACTTTTCCATTTTGTTCTCACAACTACCTTGTGATGTAGGTTAATCTCGCAAAGCTCCCTCTAAGCTGTGGAGACATGTGGGCAAAAATTCTACTTTGTGAGCTGCTGGCATTAAAAGTTGTGAGCGAGCGATTTGGCTACTGCATGAATTAGTTTGCTCTGGGGCCATCCCTTCCTGAGCGAAGACAAAAATGTGTGCGCCAGAGGCTAAAGAACTGTGAGCTAGCTCACACTGACTCAGCTTAGAGGGAACACTAGACTCTGAGGGCGTGTGATTGGTCCCAAGGTCACCAAGGAAGCTTCCGGGGTAAAGCAGTGATTCAAACCCTGGCTTCCCGGGTTCTAGTCTTGCATTCTTAACCAGTGGCTTGGCTCTGTCGCTGTGCACCTTACTGTGTGTTCCATCCGGATGCAAAATAGCATTTTGCCGGTTGGACTCCTCGGCTGGAGGAATTAGCCTGTTTCAGGGGCCCTGCCGAAGCAAGATTCGGCACACACACACACACAAAAAAAAACACGCAGGGACTAGCAAGCCTATTTTAGAAGCTGAGCTGTTAAATTTTGTTCGGCTGTAAAGGTTTGGGAATGGCCGAGCACTAGAATATGGATCTGCGCACCCACAGCCACGCAAACGGCCCGCTCTGACATAGGGACCTGCCCTAGTCCGGCCCTGGACCTCGCTTTGGGGCTTTCCCACTGGCCGTCCAACCCGCTTGGCGAAACCAGCCGCGCCGGCCCCGGTCTGTAATATTTGTGGAGCCTCTTTTGGGAAACCACTTGGCTGCTGCTGCTGCACCCCTCTCTCTCGGGGCAGGGCAGCGAGGCCCGGCCTCTGCCTCATCGCCGCCCACACGGGCTTCTCTCTCCTCAGCAAGGGCACGGCCGTTTCTGTGGGACTTTGTTCGTTTTCAGTTTAGCGTGCCGCCACCCACCCACCCCGCATCGTCCTCTTCTCACCGACGATTCGGCCTGTCTCGCCTGCCTTAGGACGTGGAGGGCAGGGGGCGGGCTAGCCATACTGGCACTGGGGCATGCACGAGTCCCCTGGAAAGGGCACCTCCTCTAACAGAAGGGGCTGACTTTGGCTTGTGACCCACCTACCTGCCAGACCCCCGTTTCTGTTTATTTCCTGCAAAATGTGCCTCCCTCCCCCTCCAGGCAACGGGGTCCCAAGCTGGGTAACGTCAGTAAAAACAGCACAAGATCTTAATTCTCAACAACATTAAGAGAGGCGTCAGTGAGACACCCTGAACCCAAACGGGGCACCCGCGGGGCCGACGCGCCTCCACCTCTTTCCTTCGGGGACAGCCAGTGAGCAGCACTGACGTTGCCGCCTTCCCCGATTTTGTCTCTTCAGGCGTGGGAACGAGCCGGCCTCTTTCGCCCCCTCTCGGCGCTCCGGCGGCGGGGGCCGGAGGGCGGTTGAAAACGCCACCGTCGAGGGCTCCGAGGAGGAAGCCGACGCTCGAGACGGAGACTTCAACGGAACGAGAGCCAGCGAATAAAACGCCACGCTTCCCGAAGCAGTGCCTGCAGCAGAAAATCGAAAAACTCCAGACCAAACTTGAGGGGTGCGCGCGCATGTGGTGTGGTGTGTATACGTCTAGCACTGTCCGCGGCCTTCCCTTAGGCCAACGCCCTCTCCCCGCCCCCTATGACAGTGGAAAGGCCACAGCCAGCTTTTCCTCCTGTACACCCACACGCGGAATGCTTGTGTGACCGCTGCGCAAGGCCTTTCCCCCAGGGGGTTGATACAGCAACACTGTGCTTCATGGAGGGGGCCATGCCCCCCCCCACAGGGGGGGCCCCTGCCGCCTCCCCTCTCTTGCTCCCCCCCCCCACTTTCCCTACTTCATTTCTAAGTGTTGCGTTTGGATGCTACACCCCCAACGCCGCTGACTTCACTAGATCAAGTGCCTTCCTTCGCCACTTTAATTTTCATTTGGGGGGGGGAGGTAAAATGTTAAGAGGTCAACCGTTTTCAAATTTCCGAATGTGCTTTAAAAACACGCACTAATAAAAAGAAAAGGTTTATAAAATCACAACATTTGTTTTGGAATCTTTACCGGGAATCCCTGGCAGTACGCGTGGTATTTTTTAAGCTTTCCAAAGACTCTCTCTTTTCCCAGGCCAATAAACTTGGCTCAGGCACGGAGCCGGTAAGCGGCTGGGTCCCGCTGCAACGTCCGTCCTCTGGCAAGATGAGCGACTCCCGAGTCATTTCAGGGTGCCGACTGGGCATTACACTGTCACTCCAATATAGGGCATGGAAGAGAAGGAATAAATATTTTTAAAAAATGGAACAGGAGGTGTGCCGCTTGGAATGGCTTTCTGTGGGGGGAGCAGCACAGGACCTTTCTGCCCTCCATCAGCCCACCAAGGTTTTTACAGCATTTCCCAGCCCTTGGAGGGAGGTGGGAGAGGCAAAAAGGACTCCCCTGCAGACCGCCCCTCCTTGGGGGAGGGGGGGCAAAACAGGGTCAGTGCCAAAGCTGGGCTTAAGAACATGAGAGATGCCAATATTGGATCAGGCCAGTGGCCCATCCAGTCCAACACTCTGTGTCACACAGGGGCCAAAAATACCAGGGGCCATCAGGAGGTCCAGCAGTGGGGCCAGGGCACTAGAAGCCCCCTCCCACTGTTGCCCTCCCCCCAAAGCACCAAGAAGACAGAGCATCACTGCCCCAGACATAAGAACGTAAGAGAAGCCATGTTGGATCGGTCCAATGGCCCATCCAGCCCAACTCTTTGGGTTACACAGTGGCCAAAACCCAAGTGCCCTTGGGAGGTCTACCAGTGGGGCTAGGACACCAGAAGCCCTCCCACTGTTGCCCCCCCCAAGCACCAAGAAGACAGAGCATCACTGCCCCAGACATAAGAATATAAGAGAAGCCATGCTGGATCAGGCCAATGGCCCATCCAGTCCCACAGTCTGTGTCACACAGGGGCCAAAAATACCAGGGGGCCATCAGGAGGTCCACCAGTGGGGCCAGAACTCCAGAAGCCCTCCCACTGTGCCCCCCCCCAAGCACCAAGAAGACAGAGCATCACTGCCCCTGAATGAATGTCCCATCTATACCTTGTGGCTAAGAACCACTGATGGACATCTAATTCCCTCCTGCCAGCCTCTAAAGAGACTGGGCGGTGGGAAATTCTGGTTGTGACTTTGCAGTTAAGGCAGATGCTGAGAGATTCCCCCACCCCCCGCTAGGACTTCGTCAGCCCTCCCCTTATCCTAAAATGCCAGCTTGCCGGCCCTCCAACGAGAAGGGACTTCTATGAAAACCCGGCGGCCCACACTATTAGCATAGAAGAGGCCCCCCCATAAGCAAAAGTGACCAGCTCTTTCCCTTTCCGTGTCTTCCGTTCACTGCATAAGCCACACCAGCTATTTTAAGCCTTTCCAAACAGTCTTGGGAGGGGCCGCTGCTTCGGCCCGGACCCCGAGGAAGCAGAAAGGCACCTTGTCCCGCACAGACTCCGTGGAAAGCCAAAACCGCTGTGCAAAAAGGACAGCCCCCTCGGTTGCCGTGAGTCCGATACGGGACGCTCCTCCCTCCGCTGGCCAGAAAAGCACAACACCAGACAACTCCACCCTTTTTGCCTTGGTTTATAACACACAATACAAGCTTCAACTTACAAAACTCTGGCAGCACAAAGCCTGATGTTAAATCCCGGCACCTTTTAAACATGCGCAGGGCCCCGTCGTCATCAGGCGAGAATGGCCGTGCGCGCGGGCATAGAAAAAGAAATCACCCCCTCCCCCGTCCACTTCTGGATTCCTTAGCGACTCCCAGAGGTGTGCAAAAGGCACTTAAGCGAGCGAGAGGCGGGATGCCGAGTTGGCTCTGCCGTCAGGCCACATTAAAAATCCTCGAAGAAATAAAAGTGTAGCGCTGGCAGATAAACCCAGGCTCTCGTCCCCGTAGAGGGCGCGCCCGTCTCCCTCCTGCAATCCTTTCTAATTTGTTTGCGGCCTGGTTCAGAGTCCAATGCCAAGATGACATCTTAGGGGCCCCCGACGACGACTTGTGAGTGCCGGCAGGAAGCAGGGGAAACTCTGCAGGTGGACACATACACATAAGGCAGTGGCACAGAACTGTAAGGCTCAACTGGGCAGGCGACTATCTGGGGAAAGGGGTCGAAGCAGTGGGACGGAGGGAAGAACGTTCTTTGCCCTTCGGAGAACATCAAGGCAGGACTCGCCTTCCTCGCAGGGAGGTCGTTCCTCATGCTGCGGCAGTGCCCCCTCCTGGCACTGCCCGACGACCCCCCCCCCCGGCCAGGTAGAAAGCGGTGCCGTTCATTCCCTTCATCAGGGGTCTTCCGCCCCACCTCTTCCCCTCTGCCACAGGTGAGTTTCTGTCTGTTAGTATCCTGTTACAAATTGGGGGGGAAAAATTAAAAGTCCCACGTCCGGGGATGTGGCGTGCTGTTTGGTCCCTCAGAGAAGCATCTGGACTACTCCTTGGGGTGGGAGGCCCATTGGCCCGGGGAGGTTCAAGGGTTGCGTTCCCATCTCCAGCCGCTTAACCAACCTGGTTTTTAAAAAAACAAGACAGAAGAGGTTTCAGTAAGGACAACAAGACCACGCTGGAGTCCCTGGAAGGGCTGAGGTCGTGGGAGTCGCCAAGCCAACTTCCGGCCCTCGCTGTTTTGGCCAAAAGAAGAAGAGATTGAATGTATATCCCATGGCCCTTCACTACCCAAAGGAGTCTCAGAGTGGCTCACAAACTCCTTTCCCTTCCCCTGCCCACAACAGACAGACACCCTGGGAGGTAATCGGGGCTGAGAGAGCTCTTGACAGAAACTGCTCTTTTTCAAGGACAGCTCTTGTCAGAACTACGGCTTGACCAAGGTCATCCAGCAACTGCAAGTGGAGGAGTGGGTAATCAAACCCGGGTCTCCCAGGTTAGAGTCCGCGCACTTAACCACGACGCCAAACTGGCTCTTTTTCAAGAACAGCTCTGACAGAACTATGGCTTGCCCAAGGTCATCCAGCAGCTGCAAGTGGAGGAGTGGGGAATCAAACCCGGGACGCTCCAGCTGAAACTTGCTCGGGGGGGGGAGCGGGGACGGAGCTGAGCTTTATCTCAGAGGTGGGGGCCGAGAGGCCCGTCTTCCAGCAGCACAGCTGGATACAGAACTACAGCAGAGGGCGGTGCAGGTTTCAGCTGTTCCCACCCCAGACCGCCCATCCCTGCTCTTGGCTTCCAGGCAAGCTCCGGGGCAGGCCTCGGCCTCTGTGCCCCGTTTGTTTTGCCCTCCGGGGCAACGGGCTGGGTACCGCGTGAGGTTACCGCCTGATCCCGCAGGGCTGCTCTCCGGTTCTTACGGCTCTGCTAACACCCCTGCGAGTGATGCTCCCTCTAAGCCGGTGGAGCCTTGTGAGCAAAAATTCTACTTTGTGAGCGACTGGCGTTAAAGTTGCGAGCGAGAGATTTGGCCGCTGCATAAATCAGTTTGCTCTGGAGCCCTCCTTCCTGAGCTGAGGAGAAAAAAAAAGTGAGCCAGAGGCTAAAAAACCGTGAGCTGCCTCACACTAACTCAACTTAGAGGGGACACTGCCTGAGAGGTACCCTTCCCCCCTCCCATTTCAAGCCGGGCACTGGGGCAACAGAATACGCAGACCCCGTCTTTCTCTCCTGGCGGTCCCACGCCCCCTCCCCTCCAGCGCTCCTATCTACAGGTTCCTGACAGGCCTGCTCTTCCGTGGCTCCGCCCCTTCTCCCTCCCTGCTTCCCCCCCCCCAATGCCTTCCTCCAGACTTTGGCTTGACTACTGCAGTGCCAACGGTCAGGGACCGAAAGCGGGAGGCAGACCAGGAAGTCCGTGGTGCCCGTCCCCCAGTGTATTCTTCCTCCGACAACCAAGACTGCACAGTTTCCTCTTTTGCTGCTGTTTCTCTGCTGCATCACTATGTGCTTCCCATTCTCTAAAGCCAGTCTGGTGTAGCGGTTAAGAGCACAGACTCCGATCTGGGAGAACCAGGTTTCATTCCCTGCTCCTCCCCCTCGTACAGCCGCTGGTGTGACCTTGGGTCAGTCACAAGTTCTCTCAGAGCTGTTCCCACAAGAGCGGTCCTCGAAAGAGCTCTCTCGGCCCCGCCGTCCTCACAGGGTGCCTGTTGTGGGGAGGGGGAGGGAAAGGAGTTTGTCAGCCGCTCTGAGACTCCTTTGGGTAGTGAAGGGCGGGGTATAAATCCAATCTCTTCTCTTCTTCTTCAGATATAAGAGTCCAACTGGCCTTCCCTCACAGCTCCACCAGCAATCACAAGATTTCCCCCTCCCCTCGTATTTTACAATGCAGTTGTGAAGTCCAATGTTTCCAGACAGAATCCGAGAGGCTGCTTACTCACCCATGCGGCCCGCTCGGCCGCCGGTCGAAGGCGTCTCTGTTCAAGCAGACGGACGGGGGAAAGGCGCTCCGGTAAGGAGTCTGGTCGTACACGAAGTGGCGGCAGGAGGCCAGTTTCGACTCCAGGGCCTAGGGCAAAAAATGCGGGTTTTGTCCCGATTCTAGACCAAGCGACCTCTAAAAAGGAGATCTACAGCCCGGAACGGCAGCCGGTCCCAAGAAGGACTTGGGGTCTGGCGTGGACGGAAAGCTGGAGAGGTGGTACGTCAGCGGTCTAAATGAAGGGAATCGATATCTGGGCCAGGGCGGGAGCTGGTTTTTGCAAAAGTGTTCTGCTGCCCACAGAAGCAGAGTCTCCCAGCGTGGTGCCTGAAGAATGCAAGGAACACCCCAACTATGCCAAAGAGCCCGTGGGCACGATCCCGGGAGGGACGTCTCCTCCACGGAAACAAACAGGAGCTGCACGGAAGTTCATTTGAATGGGGTTCTGTGGGGGAGAATTTCCCCGTCTCCCTCAGCAATGCTCCCTCTCAGCTGTGGAGTCTTGTGCGCAAAAACACTACTTTGTGAGCTACCGGCATTAAAGGTGTGAAGCGAGCGATATAGCTACTGCACAAGTGAGTTTGCTCTGGAGCCATCCCTTCCTGAGCTCAGACGAAAATGTGTCAGCCAGAGGCTAAAAAACTGTGAGCTCCCTCACACCAACTCAGCTTGGAGGGAGCACTGTCCCCTCAGTGAATTTCCCCACACTTTAAGGAACTTTGCTCCGCAGGTACCGGAGCTTAACTCGTAATATTGAGGTTGTCGGGCAACAGAGAACTGGCTGGAGATGGAGAATGAAGGGCCTTTTGTTCGACAGATTGTCAGTGGTTTAGTGACCCTGACCCTCTGCTATGCAGAGGTAGGCCATGGCAAACCACCTCTGCTTATCTGTCCTGAGCCCCATCCGGCCAGAGCAGGTGGTCACCAAAGCTCCCGCTCAGCTGTGGAGTCCGGTGAGCAAAAATCCCACTTTGTGAGCCACTGGCACTGAAGTTGTGTGCAAGCGAGCGATCTGGCTGTACTGCATAAATCAGCCTGCTCTGGAGCCCTCCTTCCTGAGCGAAGACAAAAAGGTGTGGGCTGGAGGCTAAAAAACTGTGAGCTAGCTCACACCAACTCAGCTTAGAGGGAACACTGCTCTAAGCTGTGGAGTCCGGTGAGCAAAAATCCCACTTTGTGAGCCACTGGCACTGAAGTTGTGAGCGAGCGAGCGAGCGATTTGGCTGTACTGCATAAATTAGCCTGCTCTGGAGCCATCCCTCCTGAGCGAAGACAAAAAGGTGTGGGCTGGAGGCTCAAAAACTGTGAGCTAACTCACACCAACTCAGCTTAGAGGGAACACTGCTCTAAGCTGTGGAGTCTTGTGAGCAAAAATTCCATTTTGTGAGCTCCTGGCATGTGAGCAAGCAAGCGATTTGGCTGCTGCATAAATCAGTTTGCTCTGGAGCCATCCTTCCTGAGCTGAGACAAAAATGTGTGGGCTGGAGGCCGCTAAAAAACTGTGAGCTAGCTCACACCAACTCAGCTTAGAGGGAACACTGGTGGTCACCCCCCCACCCCCCGCCAGCACACCTGGCTGCTCGAAGGACTGACATGCAGAGGGGAGTTCCCGCCCCTTCCCACCCCTCCTTCCAGTTCCAAGAGCTTTGGAGAGCCGCGACGCGTCCGTTGACCGGAACGCCCCTGGCCAGTTTGCAGAAGGCCCCCCCCCCGTGTTCTCACCCCCACTTTGCGCAGCAGGTCTCCCACAATGTTGAGCGCCGAAATCCGGGCTGCCGGCGTGAGCGGGGTGGCGCTGTAGCTGTCCTCCAAACCTGGGGAGGGGAGCAGGGAGAGGTGTCGGAAAGGAAACTCGAGAGCAATTCACGCAGCACAGACAAAAGCCACACGAGGCCCAATCAGCGCTTGAGCACGGAAACTGACCCTGGAAGGAGGATTCAGCCCCTGGAAATCTTTGCTTCCTGCTCTGGGGTGCTAGTGAGCCCCTCGGGACCTATAGCAATTCCACAGGCAATGATTGCTCAGGACTCGGAACCGGAAGCCGCCCTCCCGGTTGTATCTGAAACGCCCTTTGAAAGGAGGAACAGAGTGCAGCAAAACTCCCAGGGCAGCTCACGGTTGACGTTTGCAACTTATCAACCCAACAGCCCCCTAGCCCCATTCATGGTCTGTCAGATGGACTCCAATGGCATTAAAGCCCACTGACGTGCACTGCGTTGCAATTTCTTCAACGGTCCTCACGGAGAAGCCGCTGCGCTGTCCAATTCCTCCCCGGGGTGCCCTGGATTTTCAAGGGACGTTGGGTGAATGGCATCCTCTTACTCACGGGTCATTTCCTGCAGGAGCACACGGGAGCGGAACTCGGGCAGTAAAGAGCCCAGGGGGCGGGCACATGCAACAAGCCCCACCCCCTGCTCCCAGCAGCCCTCAGTCAGAGCAAGTAGCAGCCAGGTAAGCTGCAGAGCCCCCCCCCGGCCCCCTGGCCCAAAAAAGTTTAGTGGCACCTTTAAGACCAAGTTTTATTCAGGTACAAGCTCTCCCTCCTCTGCGAGGACAGATCTGCACGTTCCCCCCCACCTCCCATAGCTAGCAATCCAAAACAGTCCAGTGGCACCTTTAAGACTAAGTTTTATTCAGGTACAAGGTCTCCCTCCTCTGCGAAGGCAGATCTGCGCGTCCCCCCCCCCCCAATAGCTAGGAACCCAAAACAGTCCAGTGGCACTTTTAAGACCACGTTTTATTCAGGTACAAGCTCTCCCTCCTCTGCGAGGAAAGATCTGCACGTTCCACCCCCCCCTCACAGCTAACAATCCAAAACAGTCCAGTGGAGCCTGAGCGGTGGGTGTTGCCTTCTGACACACTTCCGGTGATGTCAGGGTGTGTGGCCTATGCAAACGAGTTATGCTAATGAGTTATGCTAATGAGCTCCTGCATCTCTTTTTCTACGAAAGGACCCCTGCTCTTACCCCTCCTGAATGTCCCGGGGGTACTTCGTCCCCCACTTGGCCCTCTGTGAGCCCCGGGGGTCGAGGGTGGCGGCCTGCTCGCTGGGAGGCCCGTCTCCATCTGCTCCGCTTCTGCCGGCCCCTGACCTGATGTCTTCGGCTTCTCCTGCTTCTGCTGCACGGCCAGCTCCTGGCGCAAGTCTGGAGGGGGAAAGCGACCGTTCCGGTTATCATTGTTAGGAATGTAAGAAATACCAGGGACAGCCTGCTCCAAAGACTTTGCTCCCCCCCACGTAGTTACTTTCCACAGGACCGGCCAACCAAGGCTCCCTCTGAGCTGTGGACTCTTGTGAGCAAGAATCCTGCTTTGTGAGGTACTGGCAAATGGGGTTCAGTGTGGCCAAGTGCAAAGTCATGCACACTGGAGCCAAAAATCCTAATTATAAATACACATTGATGGGGTCTGAACAGGCACAGACTGACCAAGAGAGAGATCTTGGAGTCGTAGTGGATAGCTCAATGAAAATGTCGAGACAGTGTGCGAGCACAATAAAAAAAAGGCCAATGCTATGCTGGGGATTATTAGGAAGGGAACTGAAAACAAATCAGCCAAAATCATCATGCCCCTATATAAATCGACGGTGCGACCTCATTTGGAATACTGTGTGCAGTTCTGGTCACCACACCTCAAAAAGGATATTATAGCTTTGGGGAAAAGCTGCAGAAGAGGGCAACTAGAATGATAAAAGAGTTGGAACACTTCCCCTATGAGGAAAGGTTAAAGTGCTTGGGGCCCTTTAGCTTGGAGAAACGACGGCTGAGGGGTGACATGATCGAGGTTTACAAGGTTATGCACGGGATAGAGCAGGTAGAGAAAGAAGTACTTTTCTCCGTTTCTCACAATACGGTGGCCACTCCATGAAATCGCTGAGCGGTTGGGTTAGAATGGATAAAAGGAAGTCCTTCTTCCACCAAAGAGTGATTAACACTTGGAATTCACTGCCACAGGAGGTGGCGGCGGCTACAAGCATGGACGGCTTCAAGAGGGAATTAGTTAAGCATATGGAACAGAAGTCCATCAGTGGCTATTAGCCACAAGGTATAGATAGGAACTCTCGGTCTGGGGCAAGGGATGCTCTGTCTTCTTGGTGCACGGGGGGGGGCAACAGTGGGGAAAAAGCAGCGTTTTGCTCGCAGAGGGGTCTGTTGCAAGCAAGGGACCTCCCCAGGAGTGAGGGGGGAAAACTGCCCCCCCCCCGGGAGTCAAAGGGAGCGAGGGAGAGATCCGCCTCCATCGCCCACCTCGGGCTTCGTCTTTCAGGCGCTGCACCGATTCCAGAAGGTTCTCCTTCTCATCCAGCTCGCTCTCCAGGAAGGCGTTCCGCTCGATGGCCTGGTTCAGGCGCTGCTCAAAGTCTTCCAGGGACATGATCGTGGCCCTGCAAAGAGGGGAGGAAGGCGCAAGGTGTTACCCTTAACATGAGTCAGTGGAGGCGCCACAGAGAGAGACCGGACTTGGACTGGGGGGGGGGGGATCCGGGTTCCGGTTTCTCTTCAGCAACGAAACTCACTGTGCGGTCAGTCACCGGCTGTTGCAGATGAGGAGATTCATGTCATTTATTTAGGTATCCGTCCACCACTTTACTCCCCGAGGGGGACCCAAAGCGGCCCCCAGCATCATTCTTCCCCCTGCTCCACATTCCTTCCTCACAACAACGACAACCCTGTGAGGTTGGTTAGGCCGAGAGTGACTAGCCCACGGTCGCTCAGGGAGCTCCCCGGGGGGCGCTGACCTTCCAGCTGGGGTCTGCCCCATCCTGGCCCACCCCAGGGGGTCCCCAGCCTTTCTGGACCTGTCGGCCCCTTAGAATCCTGACACGGGGTGGTGAGCACCACCACAAAATGGCTGCCGCAGAAGGCGCAGCCCACCACAAAATGGCCAGGGGGGAGTGGGGGTGAGAAACCCCCGCCTAGAGAAGGCCTCCTTCCCGAAAACACGAGGGTCACCAGGCAGGTACCTCTTGGCTCTTTCCAGGTCGTCGTTCGCCTGCTCCAGTTCCCGGATGTACTTCTGCAGCTGGTCCTTGACGGCTCTGGTCTGGGCCAGCTCCTCCTCCAGGGCCGACATCTGCTGGTAGCCTTCGGAATGCTGCGCCGACAGCTTCTCCTGGCCCGAGAAAGGACAGCCAAAGCATCGGCCTCCAGCCCCACCGCCGGGCAGCAGCCTCTGCCTTGCTCACGCACCCATCGGAGAGCAGGACAGGCCGGTTGGCCCCCACACGGTCCACCAGGGCTCCATCCCCACCCCCCACAAGCTCTCAGGAACACACATGAAGATGCCTGACACTGAATCCGACCATCGGCCCGGCAAGGTCACTGTTCCCTACTCAGACTGGAAGCAGCTCTCCAGGGTCTCAGGTTGGGGTCTTTCCCACCAACTCCTGCCTGGTCCTTTTAAACTGGAGATGCTGCCAGGGATTGAACCTGGGACCTTCTGCATGCCAAGCAGAGGCTCTTCCACTGAGCCACGGCCCCTCTTGACAGCTCTCCAGGGTCTCAGGCGGAGGTCTTTCCCATCACCTACTGCCTGGTCTTTTTTAACTGGAGATGCTGCCAGGGATTGAACCTGGGACCTTCTGCATGCCAAGCAAATGCTCTGCAACTGAGCCACAGCCCCTCTTGACAGCTCTCCAGGCGCTCAGGCGGAGGGGTCTTTCCCATCACCTCCTGCCAGGTCCTTTTTAACTGGAGATGCTGCCGGGGACTGAACCTGGAACCTTCTGCATGCCAAGCAGAGGCTCTGCCACTGAGCCACGGCCCCTCTTGACAGCTCTCCGGGGTCTCAGGCGGAGGTCTTTCCCACCACCTCCTGCCTGGTCCTTTTAAACTGAAGATGCTGCCGGGGACTGAACCTGGGACCTTCTGCATGCCAAGCAGAGGCTCTGCCACTGAGCCACAGCCCCTCTTGACAGCTCTCCGGGGTCTCAGGCGGAGGTCTTTCCCGTCACCTCCTGCCTGGTCCTTTTTAACTGGAGATGCTGCCGGGGATTGAACCTGGGACCTCCTGCACGCCAAGCAGAGGCTCTGCCACTGAGCCACAGACCCTCTTTACAGCTCCCCAGGGTCTTGGGCTGTGCTCTTTCACAACACCTCCTGCCTGATCCTTTTTAACTGGAGATGCCAGGGATTGAACCTGGGACCTTCTGCACGCCAAGCAGAAGCTCTGCCACTGAGCCACAGCCCCTCTTCACAGCTCTCCAGGGTCTCAGGCGGAGGTCTTTCCCATCCCCTCCAGCCTGGTCCTTTTTAACTGGAGATGCTGCCGGGGACTGAACCGGGGACCTTCTGCACGCCAAGCAGAGGATCTTACCACTGAGCCACAGCCCCTCTTGACAGCTCTCCAGGGTCTCAGGCAGAGGTCTTCCCCATCACCTCCCGCCTGGTCCTTTTTAACTGGAGATGCTGCCGGGGACTGAACTGGGGACCTTCTGCGTGCCAAGCAGAGGCTCTTCCACTGAGCCACAGCCCCTCTCGCGTATGCACAACCGAAGGGAAGTGGGAGTATACTGCACCAGCAGAGACGTGTGCCCCATTTCCAACAGGTGGCCACTGCAGCATGTATAACTCAATGTCGCCAAGCAAAAGGGTGGAAATTTCCCTTTTTATTCAAAAAACTGATCCACGTCATTTATCATCTGCCTTCCTCAGAGGGACTCAAGATGGATGACACAGAGTGAGTCAAGACGCTCCACAAAACGGGACGTTCCATAACCCACGAATTTGGATTTTAGTAGAACCAACCGGAAACCTCAAAGCTAGAAACTGAAGCATAGCGTAAGCAGGAACATGACACATCAAGTGGCGCCACACAACAGAATCCTCCTTACAGTGAGCTCTGCGGGACCCTACAGACAACCAGTGTTTCCTCTAAGCTGAGTGAGCGTGAGCTAGCTCACAGTCTTTTAGCCTCTGGCTCACACATTTTTGTCTCGGCTCAGGAAGGAGGGATCCAGAGCAAACTAATGTATGCAGGAGCCAAATCGCTCGCTCACAACTTGAATGCCAGGAGCTCACAGAGTAGGATTTCTGCTCACGAGACTCCACAGCTTAGAGGGAGCATTGCAGACATCAGACCCTGATTCTGTTTTGCATTCTCTGCAGAACTCATCTGGACCCAACCCCTGTGCAGTTGTCGACGCATCTTAAATGGAGCGACCAGCACAGCGCAGGGCTCCTGGGAGGGGACTGGTGGTCTCCGAAACACAATTCCCACGACAGGTGCGAGCAGCAGAATTAATCGACAGCCGCGTCAGTGAGCCCATTTAGATGGTTTCAAAGGGGGAACTGGGCAAAGGGCAGAGGAGAAATCCCTTGGGGCTAAAGGGAACCTTCTCTGTGTCTTTTTTGTTCAACCGCCCGGTTGGGGGGGGGGGGGGGGGGGGGAAGCAAGAGCCTCACTTCGTGCCTCACCTGGCCGTCGACCGCACCACATGGATCCGCTTCGGACTGATCCACCAGGGTTCCTTTTCGGCCTTCTTTACCGAGGCCTCGGGGAAGCCGTGACGGGTAAACTCTAGAGTCAGCCTGCGGCCGTTCCTCAGTGCGGGCCCTTGGCCAGGCTGCCCCCCACTTGCCTCACAAAGGGGGCTACCTTGTCCCCCCCCAGCCAACACTTCCTACACAAGATTTCTCCCACCCCAATTTTCCACCTCCAGGTTTCCCCTGAATATTTGGGTTCCGCAGGTGTGAATTTTTGCAGCTGATACAGGAAAAGCGGGTTTTTTTGGGGGGCTGCGGCGGGTGGATTCCAGGACTGTCAATATAGATGCTGCCTCCTCTCTCGGAGCCCTTAGAACAGGGGTGTCAAACATGTGGCCCAGGGGCCGAACCAGGCCCCCGGAGGGCTTCTATCCAGGCCCTAGCAGTGGAACTGGCTGTCTTCTGCTGCTTCTTCCAGTTCTGCTGCTGCTGCGTCCTCGTAGGTTTGCAGCTTATAGATACACACCTGAACAGCACACTCAAGATTGCAACAGCACAGGCATTTCGATGCAATAATTCAGAGCAAGAGGTGTCAGTTATCAGACAGTTAAATAAGCAAAATATTGCAAGAGTGCTCATGTTTTAAGCATGTGTTTATTTTAAGTTTTTAAAAAAGCCCTTTGTGTTGGTGTCCTTTATCAAGTTTATATCCCCGCTACCTGGCGTTACATTTTATGACACACACGGCCCGGCCCAACAAGGTCTCATTTATGTCAGATCCGGCCCTCGTACCAGATGAGTCGACACCCCTGCCTTAGAAGGCTGGCCAGAGCAAAACACCCACAACTGACTCGTCTCCAGCACAGGCTCGAGGGCACCCCCTTCCCCCGCCAGGGCCAGCTGACGGGGGCATCAATGGGGTCTCTGTTCTCTCCCTTGCCGGCTGCCGCGCAGGGGATCAACAGGCCCATTGTCTCCCAGGGTGATGGGTTCCCGCCTCCGGTTCTTGATAAGAGGGTGCCAACGATCCCCATCCTTTCCTGGCGTTTGATGCCAAGAGGGTTGCTTCTGCCCCGTGAAATCCGGTCCCTACAGGGTTCTCCTCCTCCTCCTCCTCTTTGCTAATTCACTCCTCCTCCTTTTATGATGGGAACTCCCCGGTCTTTGGTTTGGGGAGCCCCCGTCACCATCTCAAAGAAACCCAGAGACAGATCAACAACACGCGTTTGGCCGACGTCCCAACACCCCATGGAAACCGGGAGGACGTGCCAAGCCGACCGAGCACCAGCCGGCCGGACCCAGGCGGCAGTTTGGACGCCGCTGCCAGACGACCGCGCCCGGACCCTGCTCCAGAGGAGGCGGCAGTGGGTTGGTAGGCAACCAAGCTTGGTTCAGTGTGTCCCACTCCCCCCCCTCACCTTGGCAGCCTCGATTTCCATCCGGAGCCGGCCGTTCTCCGACCGGAGGTCCTTGTTCCGGGACTCCGTCTGCTGCAGCTGAGTCTCCAGCTCGGCTTCATATTCCCGGCTTCCCTCTTGAAACTCCCGCAACTCCGCCTGAGCGTTCTCGGCACTGAAAAGAGGAGGCAGAATAAGTAAGGCGGACCCTGGGCGGCCTCCACGCCCGCTGAATAATGTGCGCTCAAGGCACTTCGGTTGGTAAATAGATCTTGCCCTTTCGCATCGTAAAATCGGGTTGCAAAAGTGCATCGGAAGTGGGCTGGAAGGGCTTTATTCAGCAAAGTTAGAACTCCACAGAATGGCAAACCCTGCGTGCAGGGGGAAGGGGGGTTCCGCAACCTGTAGAAACCAGCGTTCCCTCTAAGCTGAGTTAGTGTGAGCTAGCTCACAGTTTTTTAGCCTCCAGCTCACACATTTTTGTCTTAGCTCAGGATGAATGACTCCAAAGCAAACTAATGTATTCAGTAGCCAAATCATTCGCTCAAAACTTTAATGCCAGTAGCTCACAAAGTAGAATTTTTGCTCACAAGACTCCACAGCTTAGAGGGAACATTGGTAGAAACTATGCACGCCGAATCAAGTGTTTGTGATTTAATCCAATCTCCAATATCTGCTCTGTTGCTTGACTTATTCTGGTCTGACCAGTCAGGGCTGGCGCAGGGAAGGCCATAATTCAGCAGGTGAGGCCCACGAGCTCACGTATGTCTCAAGGGCTAGAAAGCTGGCTTTGAAAACGAATGAACCAACGGTGGAAATTCAGGAGCTTAATTCTCCAACCTCTACAGCCGCGGTCCCCAAGGCAGGGCCCGTGGGCTCCGTGAGACGCGCTGACACCGTTTCTGGGGCCCACGGGGTGTTTTTACAAAGAGGGCGGGGCTCCTGCCCAGCAGGACTTCTGATTGGCCACTGGAAGTTTGATGGGCTGTGTGGGTTTTAAAAAAAACACAGCGCAGCCTCAGCAGCCGCCACTGCGTGGGGATCTTCACTTTGTGGCTGAGGGCAAGCTGGGGCAGCCATTTTGTGGCTGGCTCCGCCTCCCGTGGCAGCCATTTTGTGGCTGCATCTGCTCCGCCTGCGGGCTCGAAAAGGCCAGGGACCCCTGCTCTGAGGGGCGAGGGGACTTACTGGGAGGCGCGGAGAGAGGGGAGGGAAGACGCGCGACTGAACTCCGAAGAGGGTTCCAGGCGAGCTGGCCAAGGGACTGCGTTCCTTTTATTAGACGCTTTCCCTCCACTGGAAATAACGGGGGATCTTCTTTTGGGGCTCATAGAACTGGACCCCCCGGTCCAATTTTTTTGAAACCTGGGGGGGGGGGAGGGGTTTTGAGGAGAAGCACCAGCAGCTATGCGGAAAATCTGGTGCCTCTACCTCAAAAACCAGCCCCCCCCCCCCATTGATCAATTCTCCATTATACCCTATGGCAGGGCTGGCCAAACTTGCTTAACCAAAGAGCCACATAGAATAAACATCACATGTTTGAGAGCCACATGACGTGAACATGGAGTTTGTCCTCTGGCAGGTGAACTAGTAATTCGGACATTTGCTCCCAAAGGGCATATTGGTATCGGTTCATACATGCAAGATAGTTTGATGCCTTCACTGCCAATGCTCCAGTGGAGTAAAAACGACGTAAAAACTAAGGAGTTAGGCTGTGGGAACTGGCGGGATGTCCGCGCCCGCCACTCTGGGCATGCGCAGTGGGGTTCCTCTGCTTGCCTGAGGGAATGGGCGCAAAAATCCGTTGAAAAGAGCTTGCTACAGCACCGATCGGTCCAGCGCAGGCGCACTAGATCCCATTGGTGTGAAGCACAGAGACCACAAAGAAGATCAAATATTACAGACATGTTTTTATTGAATAACATGCAAATTTGCTTTTTAGTAACAGTAAAGGAGACTGCCAAAAATAAAAGCAAAGGGGATACGTCACCTTTATGGAAGATCAATCCGAAACATCCAGAGCACTTAATCATGTTGTAATATTGTAGAAATGATTTGAAATGGTTTTAATTGTGTTTTACGTGCGGGCTTATGCCTGATTGTGAGCCGCCCTGAGCCCGCATAGCAGGGAGGGAGGGCTATAAATTGAACTTATAAATATAAATAAATAAAAATAAATAAATAAATAAAAATAGATATTGATAATTATATTTATTTGTCCAATGATATCTGTAGTCTTGGGGGGGGGGGGCCTTTGAGAAGGCATTTCAAGCTAAAGTTGCTTTCTTTCTCTGCTCCCCCCTGCCCCAAGCCTACCCAGGAAAGGGAACGCTGGCTCAGGAAGGGACGATTGATCAGGGAAGCACGCCTCCCCTTCGCTTCCCCAGCTGCCCTGCCGGGAGCCACACAGTATGTGTGAAAGAGCCGCATGCGGCTCCTGAGCCACAGTTTGGCCACCCCTGCCCTATGGGGACCGGCCTCCATCGGGTGTAATGGAGCCCCCAGTGGCCATTCCCCCCCCCACTTTCTGATACCCTGAAGCGGGGGAAGGGGCTCCAAATCAGGGCTCCCCTCCCCCGCACAGAGCTGACAGCCCACCGAAAAACCCAGGAGCGTTACCACTGCTTGTATTCCCTGGCCCGCTCCCTCCAGTAATCTCGTTCCTCCTCCGCCGAACCGAACTGCTTCCTTTCAGAGTCGTTCATCTCGGAAGCCTCCCAGCATACTCTTCTGCGGGCACAAAAGGGGGGGGGGAAACAAAACAAAAATGGGTTTTACTTTTTTTTGTCCTGGTGGGAGTCCTGAGACGTCTGGTTTCAAGCACAGACCAAGACCCGGGCCGGTGAAAGGCAGCAGCTGGGGTGTACAGAAGCTCATGGCCGAACTCTGCACATGTTCAGAGGCCTTGCTCTCACCCTCTGTGGGAACAGCAGTCCAGAGAACCACCGCCTCGTGTTTAGAGGACGTCTGTGGGTCCCCACGTTTGGAAGAAGGGGATGCCACAGAGCAAGGGGGCTCAGATGGAAAAGCACAAGCCCGACGTTAAGCTCTCACAACAACCCTGCGAGGTAGCTGGGAGATGGTGGCTGACACGCAGAGCATCACGGCAGAGTGGGGATCGGGACCCAGCTCTCCCCGTCTGACGGCTACTCGTCCCGGCAGATCGTGTTGAGCGTTGGACCTCCGGCTGCGCCCGGCCGCGAACGGCACAGCCCCGCACACACCAGCGGCCGCATCACAGCCTTGAGGCCTGAGAGGTCCATTGGAGCCCTGGCAGAGCTGGGCACTTTGGGCAAGGGGCATGCAAGAGACGGCAGGGAAGGGGACAGCCGCAAATGACCCCGCACTGCACAACAACGCCTCTCTGGGCACACGCTCAAACAACAGGAGGACGCTTCCAAATTAAAGGGTGGGGACCCTCTCAGGAGTACTGTTTCTGCACCGGATCTCCGAGCAGACCTAATTGAATCGCCACGCTGGCCGAGGCGCATGCTTCCTCACCAATGGGCTCCCTGCACGCCCAGTGTCTCTCACCCAGACTGGGGTTGGACTGGCAGAAAGCAGCCGGGGCTCGGCATGCCACATCACAGCCCGGTTTCAATGAGACGCTGTGGGCGGTCAGGACAGAGGGCGTTTGGCCTCTTCCCGAGTCACCTTCAAATCAGGCGTTGCCTGTCTTTCTTCTGAGCACCGCCAAAGAGCCACACAACTACGTTAAGCGGGGATTAGAGAGCTTCGGAGAGGAGAACTGGCCACGGTGACTGAGGAGAACCTCCCCGTTCAGAGGCAGTCAACCTCTGAATCCCAGAGCCAGCATCAGAGAGAGGACTCGGCCTCTATATCCTGTTGCTGGCCCTCCAGAGGAACTGGCCGGCCCCTGTGTGAGACGGGAGGCTGGACTAGATGGACCCTCAGTGGTCTGACCCAGCAGGGCTCTTCTGGTGTCCTTCTCATGGGAAGGCCTCGGCTTCCATGCCCTGTTGCTGGTCCTCCAGGGGAGCTGGCTGGCCACTGTGTGAGACGGGAGGCTGGACTGGAGGGACCCTCCCTGGTCTGACCCAGCAAAGCCCTCCTGATATCCTCAAGTTAAAACTCAGTTCCAAAACAAACAAATCCACCTACGTTTTATTTACGGGAGAGGGCCTGGGAAGGAGACAGCGTGGCAGTTGTTTAAAGGGCAAACAGTGCCGCCCACAAAGGAGGCAGCCATGAGCTCGGGACGCTGTGATCTCAGTCCTGGGGAATGCAGGTGAGGCCAGGTCACTGGCAGGATGGGAATCCCCCACAACGCCCGGCCAAGGGAGGCGCAGCGCATCAACACGCACTTCCGGTCCTCTAGGACGGCTGCGCAGAGGGGGGCCGGGCTGTCAAAGCAGAGGTGCAGACCCTCCTAAAGCCCGCCTCTCTTTGGAGTTTAATTTACTGGGGAGGGGCCGTGGCTCAGTGGCAGAGCCTCTGCTTTTGCTTGGCATGCAGGAGGTCCCAGGTTCAGTCCCCGGCAGCATCTCCAGTTAAAAAGGACCAGGCAGTAGGCGACAGAAACGACCTCTGCCTGAGACCCTGGAAAGCTGCAGAGAGGGGCTGTGGCTCAGTGCCAGAGCCTCTGCTCGGCACGCAGAAGGTCCCAGGTTCAGTCCCTGGCAGCATCTCCAGTTAAACAGGACCAGGCAGGAGGGGATGGGAAAGGCCCTCCTTTGCCTGAGATCCGGGAGAGCCGCTGCCCGTCGGAGCAGACAGTTCTGACCTCGAAGGACCGATCCAGGATAAGGCAAACCTCAAGCGTTCACGTGCTCTTTCTTTATTTACAAAATTCAGCCGTGTTCCAGGAATGGTACAAAGCACAGAGTCACCGCAATAAAGGCCGGAATAACACACAATAAAACCAGAACAGGACGGGACGTTACGAAACGCAAGAATGGAGAAGTCGACGCAGTAAAAAACAAGGTGACGCCGATGCCAAACGACTTGTTAAACCTCTGCAGAGACGCCCTCCGGAATCCCTTGTCTTGCTCGGCTTGCAGAATGTCGAGAGCGGGGCGGGACTCTTCGGGGCCTCCTAGGGACCAGAACCAGTCCCAGAAGCCCTTCTCTCCCCCCCTCCCCCTTCCAGGAGCACACAATCCACAACCAAACAACCAGGCCCAGGGAAACCAGGTTCCCCAATTCTAGGAGCTGCCGTCAACCCCCCTTCCCCCCCCCGCCAAACAGCCTGTATTAAATTTCGAGGCACAGCCGAGATAAACGGCCCCAATGCTTTGGGGGTCAGCA